CAAAAATCAAACAAAAAAATGGGACCCACCTGCAAGCATTACCTTTCTGATAAAAAATGAATTATCAAAATTGGTCCACTAGCGGCGGAGTTATGCCGTAACACACATAAAAAAATAAAAAATAAAAAAAACATACAGACGAATTGAGTACCTCCTTCTTTTGGGAAGTCGGTCAAAAAATACAAACCTTTCCTCTTTATAACATTAGTAAAGATGTCAATTATTTGAAGTATCAATAAACTCGAATGAACTTTGATGTAAAAAGTTTTTACAACAAATTATTAAGTTGGGAAAGTAAATAAAATATACAAAGCAGATAGTGACGTCCTCCACACTAGGCGGCATTTTGCCTGCGCCGCTTGTGCCTCGTGCCTGCGTGCCCTCAAACTGGGCCACTGTTCGTCGGGGAGACACCATTTGAATATTAAATAGTGTAGGGCAACTGCTCCTACTCTTCAATTGTAATAATAAAAGAAGACCCATGACTTACGACAATAATAATTAAATATATATTACTCACTCGGAAAGTGTTGTAGCAAAGGAATGCAGCGTTGGTAGCGAAGGGCGGCGGTGCCTGCGCAATGGTCTCGCACCGCGCTGTGCCAGCGGCCGTGAGCTGCGTTAACAATTGCATAGCTGCCGCGGGCCATACAGCACGCGAGCTGTTCGCTTCTTTTGCACTGTTTAATGATATATAAATGAATACTTAGGTATAGAAATTATTCGTCTATAACAAGATTAACCTTTATGAGGCTAATAATACGAAATGTAATGACACAGTGCCCTACAATGGCTATGCCACTAACAAAATGGTTTCGTTTCAGTAAAATACCTAAGCTATCTTTTTTTCTTGACATTTATTATTAAAAGGAATTTAAACGATTAAAAACTTTTTAAAGAACTATGAGAAAGAACGTTCAAAAGTTATATGTCTACGAGCTGTTGCCCGCGACTTCGTCCGCGTGGTATTAGAAAACATACGAACTATATAAATAACAAAAAGCTACGTATCCCTCGGGAACC